ATTAAAATTCTCGGATATTCATGCGTTTACCACGAACTTCTCTTGTTAGAATCTGAATTTAAAACATGTTTGGAATTAATTCCTTGTTTTTTTTTGCCGCAGAGTAGCAAACATCGTGATATGTATATATGTATATATATTTTTTGAAGGACCCTATTTTACTTTTACTATTAAGCTTGTTCTTCCTATAATGATAATATAAAAGTAGGTCAAGGTATTTGTGGCTAATATTTCTACGCTCTACCAACCCGGATGACCGAAAGAACGAAATGTAAATGTTAAACCGCATTTACGAAACGATGACGCCATCGGTGGGTCCTGCTGAGAGTGAAATAGATAGAACTATGATCTCGCAGGTTCTCCGTTGGTTTCTCTGACAAAAATTAATTGTATACTTCGTCACAGTGCTGCCTAATATAGCCAGATAATCTGGTGCTTGTAAACGATAATCACAGCCCGTAGTTAACATGTTCGAACATATCTTATTACGGATATGTACAAGATAAGGACGTAAGTAGAGTCTCCGCGGTAGTGATTTGTTTGCAGTCTTGTGTCGTATATCATCGTTATTGTGATATATATCATCGAGTAGTGTTAGGCAAACTACTAGACGCGCGGATCGAATGTTACGGGACCGACTATCATGCGAACCAATGTCCACTGAAATAAACAATTATCCTTGGACACGAATGCTTCATACATCAAACGAGTTTAAAAGAGAATCTGAAAGCGACCATAGGAGCAACATCCTCGACGCGTATCATAATTTGTACGTGTTTATGTGTGTATGTGTTTCTTTATATTCTCGTGCTTGTGTTTATCTGTGTGTGTTTGCAGATGTACGCAATAGATGACTGTGAATTGGTTCGCTCATACATGACTCGCACACAGCGCGTCTTGCAAGGGATTACATAGATATCTATTCACGATTTCGTCACTCTGTTGTACATTCGAATGCGAACGTTCGTAGAAAGTAAACGTCCAAATAGTGTTCATATTTTAAGTGAAACGCTGCTCCATTTCTGCTTTTTATGCCTTATTATAGAAGGACCAATTGATAGGGCTATTTTCTTCTTTCATGAAACGGTTATTCAACGATATTGGCTAACTTGCATATCTATAGCTCTCATCGAGCTTGGTGGTTCGCGAACCAGCGCAACGAACTGTGCCATTGCTTTGGCAAGAGCATCATCAACGAATAATTGAAAATCATGCTGGTATGTAATATTTACTTTCTATTGCTATGGAATGCTATTGGTTAACAAGATTTATTAAGAAAAATCCAGAAACACGTATATTTTTCCTGTCCTGATGTAATATGTAACTATATCGCGATTGAAACTAGATCGTACATTTTCATTACCTTCACATAGAACGAGTGCACTTGTGCTTGACAAGAGCCTTATTCCGCCAAGATAGTAGCAGTTAAAGACATTCGTGTGTTCGACGATGCGTGTCAAACCACCCTTTCGCCTTCCTTCCCGCTCACCTTCACTCGCCAAGTAGAAGTGGCTCCTATTAATTCTGCGCCCATTGTAAGGCAGCGAAACGAAATGCAATAGCTACGATGGAAAATTTTTCACCGCCGATACAAACACTTGTATGTAATATTTTTTATAGAAATCCTTAATTGCGAAACGCTACATATATGTGCTTCCAATGACTCTCCAAAGAAAGAGATACATTGTAAGAAATAGAAAACGTGAGAGAAAAGAATGAGAAAATGGAAACGAATGCTTTTGTAGAACTGTGATGTACATAGAAAGAATGGTTTATCGCCAAGTATTTGCTTTTAGAAAGTACCTGTTACATACAAACACGTAAAGTATTACACATTAAATAATTGCGATGATTGATCGAGTCACGCGAAAGAAAGTGATTAACATTAATCAAGACGATCTTTATTGTGTATCGATGTTGTGTCAGCCATAGAAAAACATGAATTACCTTAATCAACAATCAGTATTCCATCGATTAATCCAGTCAAGTGTTATATCCAATTAAATGTAGAAGCAATGAACAATGGAAACCCGGAACCTTCGCTTTATTATATGAAAATATCTAACACTGGTGCATACACCGCTCTCTGGCACGATTTTATTTATACTTTTAACTGCAGTAATCAAGTTTCGTAGAATTTCGTGATAAAATTTCCACACAGGGTCATGTTATAAATATGCATAAAAAACCGACGAAGTATCTGAATAATAAATTGGTAATCGTTGTAACACTCACCATCGACATTGTGAATAACACTTGCAAAATATCGACCACTGACGTTCAGTTTCGTTCCGCTTGTTGAGTTGCTTACACACTGGTGAACACCCGCGTGAAAACGTAATTCCGAAACGATTTGTCTAGTGTCTTCTAAACACGACCAGGAACTGTTCCAGTTTAAATGTCTCGGGAGAATGTCGCGCGTGGTTCCAGCATCCCCCTTCTTGTTACGTACCCCACCTGACCAGAAACCCAGTTGCGAAGGTTCGTAAGGACTCGCACGGGGATACGGTAGAACTTTCATTTCGGTGAACGCGATGCAACCATCCTTTATACGTTTTGAAGGTGCCGCGCGCAAGGATGACCAATGTATGCGCTCCATTGTATGCGCAAGAGTGCGTTCCTTCGGCGCGTTATACGCGGTTGCGTCACTGCTACTACGAAATTCTCAAAAAAAAGAAGAAATTTGATCTTTTAACGGAGGATTGTTGTTACATATAAGACATATCTGTGAACGTATCAACGTGATTCTTTCGATTGAAATCATAAATTTGCAACTACTTGGAATTTTTATTATATCTAATCGAATGATACACTGGTGTTTATGAAGTTCGAGATCATATCTAAAAAATACGTAAGTTTTTAATACTCTATTACACGTATAATTACACGAATTTGAAATAATTTAGTCTGTTAATAGTCATACGCTTTAGTCGGTGACTTTTAAAATTTCGTTGAAAGAGGTATGATGTTCAGATTTTGTGTTTTAAATAATTAAAGTACTTTCTAAGATTTCATGTTTATATATCAATCTTTTGTCGTATCAAAGTTTTTATAATATTGAGTTAATACGTAAAAATAAGTAATTAGGATTGTTTGAAAACAAAATTATATTCCATCCTCTCATTTGCTAAATTCGCGCTACTTTTATGTTTTGATACCATGGCGGTATAGCATACACTGTGTAACAATAATAAGTGTAACAGTAATAACTCTATCAGCACAGTAATAAAACTATCTTTATTTGTTTGTTTATATGACTGTTACGTAATTGTAATTATTATGCGATATTTTGACTTACTTTGAATAATCATATTGAAATTTGCGCCAAAGAGACATAACCTTAATACTGTGCACAATTTATTGTTCAATCAAAACTCTGTTTGGATGTTTATGAGATAGAACATGACATGTTACGAAAGTTCTATCTTCTTATATTAAATGGGGTATGATGAGTTATTTAAAACTTTATAAAATTGTAAATAATGAAGAGTACAAGATAATATAACTGCAAAATATGTGTGAATTTTACATGGTTTGAGTAGGTTAGACTTCTGTATAGATATATTATATTTCACTTTATTAGAAGGGATGTTTGCAATTACAGCAAATTGTAATAAACTTGCTTTATTAGTACATCATTAATATAGCTTTATTAGTATTTAAGAAAGTACAGAAAATGGTTTTTCTATCTCAATTTTATGGAAATTTTGTAAAACATAAGATAACGCAAAGTATTCGTATCAGTTTCATTAAATTCAACTAAAATATTGGTCATTAGAATAAAAATCATCATTTTAGAGATACAAAGTTTTATTTCAGGGGTGCAATTGCATGTACATTTTCTTTACAGATATCATTTTAAATCACAGATTGCTATAAAAGTGGTTCATTATCATTTAATAACGGTAATACTATTTGAGGAACACAATTACTTTATTCTACATTAATCATTTCACGAATCTCCAGTTTGCTTAGATCGTTTGGTGTAATTCATTTTAAGATAACAATTACATATCTTTACAAGAGTATCGTAGCAAGTTTTTATAAAATATACTATATATATTATTTTGATACTATCGAATATTATTGTATATCGATCGTTTACTTTATTATTTCCAGCTCTAAAATATCAAAACATAGTTGCAACCCATATAACATTAAACATATCCATTGATGTATAACATATACATCATGACTTTCTTGTTCTACTAAAAGGATTATTCAAATTTCTGCTATCGATAAAATATTTTGAACTAATAAGTCTATAATTAGAAAGCATTATCTATTTTAGATCTCTGCAGATTGCAAATATAATTTCTATTTTAAAAAGATATGCGCCATTGTATAAATAAAATTATGTGTTAGTATTAAATTGTCTCGAAAGATTCTTTAGTTTTATAAGGAAATACTAGATCCACAATATTTTTTGTTTTATATTATTTTATTGAATTATGTATGATCCATTTTGTTCTATTGGAACAAAATCTAGATTCAATAAAACAAAATGGATCATACATATTGGAACAAAATCCAGATTCAATAAAACAAAAAATATTGCACATCTAGTATTTCCTTATAAAATGAAAGAGACTTTTGGAACAACCTAATACTAACAAGAATTTCATTTTGTTTTATTGAATCTGGATCTTGTTCCAATAGAACAAAATGGATCATATATAATTCAATGAAATAATATAAAACAAAAGATATTGCGCATCTATTATTTCCTTCTAAAACGAAAGAAACTTTTGGGACAACCTAATATATAATCTTCCTACGCAATACAATTATCGATCAGCGTTAAAATACTGACTAGGTCTTCTGCTTATACGTATTCATTACAATTACATTGAAAGTACAATGCACATATATCTAAAACACTTTAAATTCTGCTGCCTCATACGATTAAATATAATTAAAAACTTACAAAAAAAGTTATATATATCTATCTAGTGACTGTAAGTAATCGTCAGTCGATATGTACAACAGGCAGCGTTTTATTTTTTTGTTTATTTCGTCTAATTGAGACTGTACGATCACTAGATCATAATAAATTACACTATGATGGATCACTTTGCTCGATCCAGTTATATTAGAATCAGTGTCATTGTACTTTTTTTCCTATTCGTATACCTATTTCAAGAACAGTGACGTATTTCTTTAATCTATTATGTTCAGCGTATAATAACTAATTAACGCGAGTAACGTACCATTAAGAACGTCTCTTAATGGAGGGAAACAATCCTGCTGTTTTATCCGTTTCAGATCAATCAGATCGTCCCGTAATAACGTATTGTACCCGTTTTCACGAAACGCTCACTCTCTTAATTAATCTTCGTCTCCTACTGTCTCGTTCATTCGTACACCATTACATCGACGTGATTACGCCGTGTAAATTATATGACATCTTCTAAGAAAAATTTGACACGCAATAAAAATTGCTTGTCAATCTTGTTACTTTAACCAGTCTTTTATTTTCCGTACTCTTGATGTATACTTATGAGGAACCAAAATGCTATTGCTAAGAATACTGTTCCCGAGAGATCGCCCAATGCCGTCAAATATGGAATAGCGGAATTGTCCGGGTCGATTTTGTGTTGCCACATAGCGTGAATAATGATATGCGCCACGTAGAGCAACAGCATAACCTGCGAAACAAAAATCGTGAATTTTTTTCCCGTGATACAATCCTTTCACTTTTTCATTAGTACACTCGAATCAACGGGCATTATATACTTACTTGAAGAACGGCCATGACGATGTAAGAAATCACAAAGCATATATGTAACGTGGACGTTCCCTTTGTGATATAATCGGCGACAAAAATAAAAATTATTTCACCGAAAATCGCCATGCAAATGAGTATTCTGGCTGTTTTCGCGTACAGCGCTAAAGAACAAGAAAGTGAAGATTATTATGTAATCGTCGAGCTGCGAAAAAGCATGTAACAGCGTAAAATTAGTTATTGTTGCATCACTTACAGCCTCTAAAGAGCGCTTTCCACGGACTGATGAAAATTTTCGAGTGTGGCGGTAAAATTCCCATAATCGTTGTCTGGTGCAATGTAGTTGAGATTCGAGATGCTTGCACAGAGACTAAATTACCACCAATTCCGTTTATGATCGGTTGAAAGATCACGAATCCATCGAACGAGTCAACAACTTGATCAAGAATCAAACCGCCAAATCTAAATTAGAACGTAAAATTGAAACAGTAGAACGACAGAATCGTGCAACGATGTATCGTGTGATTTATTCTTAAGACTAGTCAAAATTTATTCTTAAGATTAGTCAAAATTTATTAACGGCGATTGAAAGTGATACGAACCCACTGATAAACAAGGCTGATAAAACAGGAAGCCATCCAGATGTTAAAACATTTCTAGTATAGTTATTCTTAAGAACCACATAGATCCAAAATGGTAAAATTAAAAAGTAACAGCCAAGTATAACGTATAAGATCCATGGTTCTGGCGTCATTCTGTCGAACAATCCTGATGCTATCGTCGATAGAACGCTAATTGATATGACGTCTCCAAAGGAGGCAGCCAAAGGCGTAGCTAAATTGTCGGGGTTCATTTTGCATCGATATGAAATCATGATAACGGCGATCATTACAAAATCTATAAGAAAAGAAACATTAATGCAAACATTGAAACAGCGAAGTAATATGTTAAGTAATATGTTAACTTGCATTTTTTACGGTATAGCATAGTAACGTAACGCAATGAATCAACAAATTACGTTTGCAAACTTGAGATATATACCATAAATGGGAATTTGATTTGCGATCAATTATAATAATTTTACCTAGAATAAAGCAAGTGCTCGTGGCAGTGCAGACGCTAGCTGTGGCTAATAATAGGCAATTGTTCCATTTGAAAGTGTACTCGCTGCCTTCCATTATAGCGTCGACTGTGATCGCAAAGATCGATACCAAAACAGCCGCGACGATCGCCTGTATCTGTACCAATGCGATATTACCAACAATTATTTTCACGATTTCTCGAAACTCGTGCATGTTACCCAAATTGGCTTGCGTGGATATTCGCGAGGCTAAGCACATATCAAGATTGCCTTTCAAGCCCAATAGCGAAGGGATTAAAATGAATAATTGAGAAATGGTGCAGAATACTGGCCAGTCCTAAAACAGAGACGACGTTTAATTAAAGAGGATTACGTTCCTCGGGATATTCTTACAAATGGAACGCAACCAAGAATGTAAATTACGTTTCAAGAATTTCTACATTAGTAAATGCCGATAAAATCTTACATAGCGAATGTTTGTACCAAAGGGGTTGGGTTGAGATTACTAGAGAGTAGGGGGTTAAGACGAGGTGGAAAAGGGTGGGATCGGAGGAAGGTATTTATGTAAAAGATTCTTGAGATTACGACCCTGTTGCCCTTGGGCCATCGTATTTCATATGTACGACAGATAAAATGCAAAGGTGTGACAAATAAAAAAGGAGTGCTACCACGTGGTTTAACATTATCTTCAGATAAATAAAACTAAAGTGTATGATCGATAAAAAAAAAACTTGCGTTCGGAAAAATACGTGATTTATTCCGTTATTACGATTACTACGATCGAACTTAGATTCGTTATCTGTACGAGATAATCGAATTTGAGACGACGACCTGCTTTTAGCATTTATTAATGTTAGAGGAAACGTACCTTGACTTGGTTAAGCACCAGGCCCGCGCCGATCGTACCTATCCCGGCGATGAAAAAGGGAACAGCGACTTGGAAGGTGGTCTGATACCATTTCTCGTTTCTGTATGGTCTGTTACCAAAGCTGCCCGTGTCATTACGGAAGTCAGGATCAGGATCTGAATTTGCGACGGAAGAGATGGTCACTACGGAACTTCCACTTGAAATTGTTCCACCACCGAGATTGGACAGTGACATGTCCGTTTTGTTCTTTTGGCCGTTAGGATTTTTCAGACCCGCTATCGAGAAATCAATATATCTCACACTGAACCGTACGACGTTTCAAAGACATTTAACCATTCGTTGAAATGTTATCGCGAATTACTGAATGATGCACATGTATAGCTTTAGTCACAGCGCAGTTCCGATATTTTACATTTGTTACGAATTCTTAAAAGTTTATTCATATAAATTCACGATGTCGTCAATGATACGTAGATCGCGAAATGCGTCGTTACTACTTCCACGCTCTCACGAAACTCATCTTTTTATTTCGTGCGAGCAGACAAGAAATAACGAATAAGGTTATCACGGTAGAACGATTGCTGTTACTTATAAATCATTTTACGACACCGATACAACATATCCTTTATTGCATTGTGCTCCCGTAGGCAATACTATACGGTAAATACTTTGATCGACTAAGCGATTGTTTTATCAATACGATTGCGGCTAATTAACATAACGGATTTTCATTAATATCAATCTAAAGAATATGTCCGCGCAAAGTTACGTTTCAATCTTTATGTTCGCCCGATTCTCCGACATGTCCGTTTTGCCGCTTGTTCAATGGAATCGCACGCGAAACAAATGAACTTTTGCGTTATCATCGTCGGCAGTAACATTCGCGATGCGTTCTATCGTACAGCGCGTCAATTTCTCATTAGAAGGTACAAATGTCTATAAAATTTGTACGGCTCGTGACCTTTTGAACGTAATATTTTAAGCATTCGAACGTACAATAACAGATATAACTGTTAAATTGTCATTGATTTTCTTTCTGCATTTTCTTTATGTCAATACTGTAAGTATCACGGTAAGTATATAAATTCTTACCTGCCACTTTCTTCACGATATCAGGTTCTGCCTTAATGTCGGTCGATGTGTTTAGTTTGTTGTCGATAGCTTTTTCCATACTGTCGAAATCTAACGCATAGTTATCCTTGCCGTTTGACATGTTGTCTCGTTCTATAGTAATCGCGTGATCCTTAACTTCCCTGTCATTAGGTTTGTTTACTAGATGCTCATTACGATCCGTGCAATCGTTTAACTTTATAACAGTTACGTTTGACAGTGCCGGTTCAGTCGGCGAGTCCGGAAAACCGACCATATCTGGAATATATTTGATGATTCGATAAAAGACAACGCTTAAAGGAGTCGCATCGAATTCATTTTGACACGTACCGAGTTCGGCGTTGACGGACAATTTTGTAGTATCCTCCACGATATTGGCAAAGTACAGGATCGACTTGTGATACTTTCACGTCAGATCTGCCTATTTCAGTCAGTCTTGATCTTTAAAGTTGAAAAATAAATATGATTTATTATTCACAGGAATAGAACGTCGAATTTAGAATCCGTCTAAAAACGGATAACCAAAGAAATTAATTAATTTTTCATCGTGTTGCGGAATTGACGCATTAAAGCTTATCGATCTCACCGTTAATCGTAAATTTCATTAAGCATTAAGATACTATATGACCGATATTGATCAAAGTGTCGTTCGTTAACTGATAATATACGAAGATATTCATGAACTGATAGTTACGTCTTGCTACTCTCTTAAGTCGTTGCTCTTGGTCTAGACGTTTTGATAGCATATGAAATTTAATATACGAGATCAGCATAGTATCATTAACGACACGAGGAACTTAGTTCTTGTATTACTATTAATCTAAGTCCACGTGTCGTCGGATTTAAATTACATGCGTGCAAAAATGCTGAAAACAGCCGTTTACAGTATTTCTCTAGAATCTATGTAGAGGGCACCCTTTTTTGTGAAACCTTGCAACCATGTATTGCTAGAGGTAGTGAAAATTAACGAAAGATTTATGTTTACAGGAGCATATCTCATACCAATTACATGTAATCAGGACGCTATGCCGTATACACAGATACTATCGATATCTCGATAAAAATGTCCAAATCTTATTTTTAGAAACGATAATTTATCATTAAAGATGCATATAGATACTTGGCACAATACACATTTTTTAAATTACAATTGAAAACATTGTGGTTTACGTCGCCATCAGTTCATGCTAAATTACTGGTTTTTTTTTTTTTATGTTCGACGCGTGTAATGTTGTGCTACCGTGCTGATTATTCGCTATCATGGAAACTAAACGGTATTGCTAACAGAAAGATAGGAGAAAGATAGAGAATATGTATCGAGGCTTGACAGAATGAAACAAACAAGAAAAAAAGGAAAAAAACGAATAAACTCTTATCTTGACTTAATACTTACGTAGTAACGATGTATTGAGGAATTTGCGCCAGCGTGTCCACGTTTCCTTGAAAAGTGTTTATTGTTCTTTGATACTTGATTAACCTTGCCACTTCTGATTGTTCACTGCTCGATCTTGTTGAACTCGCGTGTGATTTTGTACGGGACTCTTCTCGATCCGTGCTACGTGAGCCGAAATAAAAAGTTGGCTTCGTCGTGTCACGATGGCACACTGTGATCGATGTTCGATCCAGCGTTCTGAGAATTGTACAAGGAAAGGTGCACAGAGGTAGAGATCCCGGGGAAAAACAAAATGACGGAATGGGTTTCGCACGGTAAATGCACCACCGACTCCAGAACTCAACTGTTTCGCTCAAGCGGTTGTGACTGACTGATAAAAGAAGCTTTACTTCATTTGTTGGCACTTCGGCCGCTCAAATGCATGGCTGCGAGGTACTGTTGTCCGGACATACCCACGTGCGCCATCTCGACCGACGGTGGTGGGGAAGCTTATTGTAAATAGATCGTAGATCGTAGATCATTTATTGATTCGCTATATCACTTGCGAGAAATTCTTGTTTCATCCATTACTCTCAGTCTGAAATAGCGTCTCCTCTCGCGTTTCTAATGCAGTTTATTCGCATATATATAATATGATCGTACGCGTAACGAATGATATAGATTCGAGAAAAACCTTGAATTTAATTAAATGTAGTGTTCATGTTAGAAGGCAAAAATAATCATAAGAAGCGTAATCGTATTTTTTAATCGCTTCCGAGCTACTGGTCCTTGTAAGATCGAGGTTGTTAACAATTTTATTTGCATTCGTACGTGATCGAGATAAAAGAGCGATTTATCTTAATTATTGCATTCGCGTGCTTTCATTTGTTGTATCTGTTCCTCGATCATTAGTAAAGATCTCTATCGTAATTCTCTTTTTAATTATTTCTTGTCTAAAGTGATTTAATATGCGAAATTGCTCGAGGTGAGTGATTCAATATGGGAAAAAGGACGTATAATGTTAGGAAGTCTCTCTCTCTTTTTTTTTTTTATGGAAGGATAAACGGGCACGAATATCGTACGATATGTATGAAACGGTCCGAACGTTGAATATCATACTGTTCGAACACCAACGGTCAAAGAAGCATCGGCAGATACGCAGAAAAATAGGAGAGCACGGCAATAGATCCAAATCATTTGGCTGCTGAAGCGAGCAAAAGTCTCCTGGAAGAAGACTAAAAAGAGAACCCCTACTGACTTTACTAAAGAAATAAAATAGTCAAACTCGAAGATGGTATCCCGCTGGGGGTAGCCATCCACATGTTACTTAGAAATTATTTTTTTTATTTTTATTTATTAAAATTTACAATTAATTCTCGCATTGAGAATGCTTAGAAATTAAGCCAAAAAGATTTACCGAATGCCCAGTTGGAGAAATTGTAAAGTACAGATTAAATAATAGTAGAAAAAAAATACCGTTAGGGATTTGGTTGTCATTGTACACTCTCAATATAAATTGTGAACGTAAATTGTCCATATATATGGTAAGTACAAATTGTCAATATAATTGTAAAATTGTAAGTAAATGGTATATAAATCTTAAATATAACTGTCAATATAAATTGTGAATGTGTTAGGATAGGTCAATGTAAACTATCAATATAGACTGTGAATGTAAATCTACTGTGACTGTAAATGTAAATCCGTTTATGACTCGAACAGCATATCTGCCTTTCTTTCTTAAATAGTCCGAATATCCTTGGAAAGTCCTAATTTCCTGAAAAACCCTAAAATTTCCTACCTCTCAAGTTGTAAACTCAATGATGCGGATCTTGTTAAGAGCCTAAGAGATTAAACACCCTACGTACTCAATGGGTCCGCTCTAAAGTAAACATACAGTTTGAATGGGCAATATTAGAGGATATGCGCCCACCAGGATGCACAATTACAAGATTAAGGAATAGATTCCCATTCCTTAAAATCAATGGTAAGACGTTTATTCAGTTGAAACATCAACATGGTAAGAAGGAATTCAACTATAGGGAACAGCAAGTAATTCGAACATTGAAACAGCCTAATTACTGGATTACTTGATACGACGGACCAGATCCGCAGGCTGAAGAGACACTACCCGTTAGACCTAGATTTAATTTAAAACAGTAGATTTAATTAGATATTTATATTAAGTAATATTTACTTATTTATAACACTTACTTATAAATTATACTTATCTATAATAAGTATTAATTTATTATAAATAATTAGCCATGTTACTGCTCCACGCCAGAAAAAATTACTGAAAATTCTCAATGCGAGAATTGATTGTAAATATTAATGAAAAAAAAAAAGAACATGGTAAGAAGGAAAACTCGGGGATGGAGAGTTAGTATATAAGGACCAGGCGAAGCTTCTTCAAGCAGCCTTAAAGCAGAATTCATCAGAGCGTCATATTCTTCGTGTTATATTATACAGTGCGAATAAATCAATTACACGTAACATTACTCGGCATCTTTAATCTATCTCCACCTTGAGCGCTAAAAGCGTTCGCAGTTCGTGATATCAATCGATCAGTTGCAACCTGACTGATCATCACCTAGTTGAGAATTCGCAACACATACAATCGATTAAATATTACGGCGGCTGAGAAGATATATTCGTCTCCATTTTACAGTATCCTATGGTATGCAAATGTAATTGCACGGATGTAAATCCGTTGGCTTCCCACCATGATCATTTTCGAAGGAATTTCTCAATAATTGGTATTCCGTGTGTGCGATTACGCGAACCGAATGGGATTACCTTCGTTCTTTTCAATGACGTCATATCCAATGCGATTCGCGAATGAACAGGGAAATACCTAACACGCGACACGCGTTGTCGTGCAGTTTTAAGATCTGATAGCTGATGTCAGCAAATGCATGATAATAGTACAGCATTATGCAAATTTCTTTAAAAACCACTAACAAACGTAATCATTTTAAAGCAATTAGTCTTCTCTGCATAATTTACAATTTTTATCGTAGAAAATCTGATTATTAAAATCGGCTTCGAACGAATGCAATGCCGTCGAAAGAGAACAAAATTTAAATTGCTTAATTAATTACATAGTTAGATTAGATCGAAAAATTCATGATGAAGGTTTTTCAACGACTCCGTTAATTTCTCTCGCCAACTTGTTATCATCTAAAGACGTTTCATCTGAATTAACATCGATTCGACTACTACATCGCCGATTCGAGACAACTGTCTGGGTAATATTATTATTTTCCTCACCTTATCCCTCCAGTTTCAGAGTGATTTCATCAGATAGTGAGAAGTATATCTCGGTTCGTGTAGAGTTTATTACTCCTTCAATTTAGAGAATCGCAGATGCACATGACGCAGCGATTTTAATTTCACGCGGTGCGCGGTTGATAATCGACTCCTTTTTCCTAGAAATCACTGTAAATACGCGTATTGACACTTTTTGACGTTGAAACGTCTAGCAACGCGACTTACGAACGTCTTTCGCTAGGTCATATCCGATGTGATACGCGAGTCGGTTGAAGACTAATTTGACGAGGATATTCATTACAAACGTTAACACAAAGTATAGGTCGAGTATGTGTGTTCATATTTACGTTTCAAAACATAATTACAGTACAGTTGATTTTACTTTCTATCGAAGGAGTAAGATCGAAGAGGTAAGTCTAACTGCCGTGTCGCGCTTGTCTATTAGTTATACAAAGATCAAACAATTATAATTTAAATCGAAATACACGCAGCTAAGTAAATATTATAATTTTGAGATTTGATGATTATATTTTCGACTTTGATTACGTCAAGGCATTTAAAAATGCAATGAAACTGAATTAGCCCGCGTTCGTCAGATAATGAATTAACTGTTCCGATATCGTTACCGTGAAAAAAACAATAAAATCTTCTACTCGCTGACATTTGGCACTTTTCGCTCATTATAATACTCCAATGTAAACAAGCTTTATAGCATCTTTATTGCCGGTTGTAAAACGAATGAATCCCTTCCACGATTTGTGTGCTATAATCAGCATTATAAAATGCATTATGCACCGTCTGATTAGCAGCGAATTTTCACGAGCTTACTGTATTTAATATCTTTATTTTCGTTTTTTGTTCCTCTGTTTGGAACGATACAAATGATGCTTCTATTGCATTTATCTTATTGTTAGAGCATTATCACGATGTATTTCCTAGCAATATGAAAAATAGGGATTTCCGATGTATCTATTATTTATTGATATTAAAACAATTTTTTTTTTAATTTTACCGCGTTATGTGTAACAGTTTGTACATAGTGTAGTCATTGTCCTAGATTTCAATGTGATTGTTGTTGAAAATGTATTGTTATTCTCGATACAATGTTCTTGCTTAAATTACTATGATAAATTAAGGAAAACATTGATTCTCAGAAACGCGAGGAAATATAAATGTCCGTATTCATTTGTATTCCAAAGAAGTAATTTTAATCTATCCCCATTGTTATCTCTCGTTCTTTTCAAGGAGATTATGTAAAAAAACTGATTTTCCTGACAAGATTTTCTAAAAGGATAAAACTATTTATTACTAAAGATTATATCGACTTACGTGCAATTTAAAATCTCAATTGCCATCGACTTTAAAACGATATCTTCAGAAAGTATTTTTTGTAATATTTGATCATGAGAAAGATACTTACTGACAACCTTCAGTCGACGGTACGTTGAGAGCCTTGTTTGTTGCAAAGAACAATAATTGTCATTGATAATAGAGATTACAATAATAAGAAATTTCTGTCGTAAGTATCATGAAAGCACATATGGTAATGTAATAAAAATTAAGATAATCGTTACGATTTTCATTGATCTAATGTTCAGTTAAGATATAAACTTGAGTGTCGTGGCATAAATGATTGCGATATTTGATTTTATCAGTTCCATGAATGATTATATTTAACTCGTGCTTTATCAAAATCTTTATCGGTGTGTTTTTGATTGGAATATCATTACTTTCTTTTTGTGTGTGACGCACAAAACATTCGGATGTATAATATCTAAGCTGATATATTTTATAATGAGACCATAATCATTTAGTAATTTTTGATGAAACGCATGCGATTGCATGAGATAAAAGCGTAAATTTTTTCCAATAAAGACATTTTTTCGAATGAAAAAGATTGAAAGGAATTTATTGATGCGCGGATTGAAAGGGATTTTATTGATTATATGACAAGAGTGAGGAACAGAGAATGAAACGACAGAGTTAATGATTATTAGACTATATTATTGGACGTATCCAACTATTCTTGACTAACAAATAATATTTATCGACGAACAACGAACTTCTATGAACTTACATTGTAATTTTGATTCTCGAATATTTTGATTTTCGCTCCTTCGATTTTTGTACCCTCGGTCGTGTCAGAACAATTGCTAACAACAATTTTAAAGTGAATGTCAAATCTAATTGATGAACATTAATGTAATGAAGCTATTTACGTGTCGCGTTTATAATCTCTCAGAGGTTTCAGATGATATTTTTCGCTCGATGGTAAAAGCATTCATTGAAAGAAATGTACATACAATAGTTTTTCTGAGATATTGTATACCTAACTTATATAAAAGAGCTTGTATGTGTCTCCGGATGGAATTTGATCAATT